TTTCCTAAAAATAAATTATTTTTTTTTAATTTATAAAAATTAATTTTTGTTTTTTTTCTACTGTTCACTTTGACAACAATAAATCACCAATGCTTAGTTCTAGTACCCTATACTAGCACTACAATAAGTTTTGATGCTCAAATTGTTAGCAAYTCCGAGTCTGTTTTATTTTGTGTGCCAAATTTTGCATATCTGCTTACTTTTTCGAATTTTGAGCGCTTCAGTTTTTGGTTTGTTACGTATGTTTTTGTTATTGAAAGCTATATTGAAAAGCAGTTCAAGCTTAACCGGCTTTGATATAAAACGYGTTTTAAAAGTTTTTTGTAAACAACCGCCTCTAAATTATAGCGGGCAATATTGTATCTACATATGCAACTATTTTGAAAGAGTTCTTAAAAAAATAATTATAATATTATGTTTGGGGTTAGTTTCGATTGCTTTCAATTATAGCGCTTGTTATTGGGCCTAAAGCTTTCTTGCAATTTTATCAATTTCTAATTTTTTTTTTGATATTTTTATTTAAAAAAAAATTATATTTTGTTGCTTTTGAAACGCCTGTTGAGCATTTTCAGTGATCTATAAGAATTTTCGTTTACAAGCGTTGCAAATAATTACACTTTTTAACAAACAATTGTATACAACATTGTTTTAAGCACTCGTGGTTTGAGTTTGTACGAACAAGCGCTAAAAAAGACAACCTGCAGTAAGAAAAACTAAAAAGCAAACAATTTATATATATGTATACAGTACTAAAAACCTCGTCAGAAAAACTTCACGCCTGCGCCCTTCATACAGCATACCCATATTCTAGAAGGTAAATATTTAGCTTTAACAGTTACTTAGTAATTTACGTGGTTGCTTTAAAATAATTTGCATTATTTTCTAATTTTTATTGATCTCCCTGCTGTTTTTTTTTTTTTTTTTATTATTTACAAGCCCATAACAACGTACGTTTGTTTACTAATAGAAGGTGTCCATGAGCGTATAATTAGAAGCTTGCAGTGAAAGTTTTTTGCTTCAAATGCGAGTTTGGGGCTCGAATTTGTGATTTTCGCTTACTCCCCTGTCCAGACTATACGCTAGCCTTTTTKACTACTTATTTCTCTACTTTTTGCCTTCCTCTTCCCGATTTTTGTTGCTGACAAACTATTTGCATATACATTTTTGTAATTACTGTGACTACACTCGGCGTCATTAGCGTTTTGATTTGTGATAAATGGCACAACAACAAAAAATGCGCGGATGTACAYATTGTTGTTGTCGTTGTGGCGGATGATACGGTGGTTGTTTGGCCGCCTTGTTGATGGAAAGTGGTAAAAATGTGTGGCGCGCATTCTGAGTCTCCTTACAACTTGATTTTTTTCGCGTTACACATACAAATTTTTACTTTTGCAATTTTAAGACTATTTATGTTATTTGTTTATATTCGATTTGTACACATTGTTTTTTAATTTGCATACCGGAAAATATTACCTTTTTTGAAACATTGCCCTTGTACACACCTAGTTTACATAAAGTGTAAGTTACATATTTACTAAGAATGCTTTCATGTCTATTAAATTAATTTAACTATATATATACATACATTCGTATACTTACTACATACATACATACTACTTATGTTTTTAAGTTATGCTACTTCTTAATTTAAAAAATGAGGTTAAACTAGTTAAAACAAAAAACAAAAAACGCTAATTACATCACAAGTTGCTGTTAGCACATTAATTTAATTGAATTGTTGCTCACGCTTGGCCGAGTTCATTGTGCATCTGACCACCATTCAATGGGTCGTGAGTTCGTAGCACACACAGCRAAGTCAACTCACAAACGAAGCAACACTCTGACGTGTGAAACTTTGATAATTACGCGCAGCTTTCATAAAAGTTGATTTCACTGTGCTCTGAGGACGCTTTAGCTTGTAAGTTCGGTGATTATTGAGCTTTCATCGTTTATTTGTGAGCTTTCATCGTGTACGAAGGCGCAAACTGGCGCAGCAGCTCGGCTCGGTGTAACGCCATATTTTTATCATCCTGTTTACCGTTATAGTTGTGACACTTAAATTAATTATACACTCACATACAAATAAACACATATGTAGATTATATTGCTTTCATAGCGTTCGTTACTTTTACATATATGTGTCATTTATTGATCTTATTGCTTTAGTTAAAAAGTAATTAATTTTATCGAAGAACCCAAAAAAAGAAAATGTGCAATTCAGATTTACTCTTACGTTTAGAATGTGTTTGTAATTTTTATTTCAATAAGTTGCTAGTAAATCTGTTTAGTCCAATCAAATAAGTGATCAAATATGCGTAAAAAAGACAATAAATCATATGAAAATGCATTTTCCACACTAAAAAACATTTCGAAAAGGCTTACTGTATTSAGTTGGATTTTCGAAGCGTTTCCAATTTCAAACATACGAAAAGTAAACATTTTACGCATATTCGCACATTATTCCTTCAATAACTCAATGTTTCAAGATCATTAAATTTAAGTGCARAAAAACTGCGATTTTGTGTTACCTCTCTATGTAAACACTTCGTGATCCCCACTTGTACCACATGCAATTCATAAGTTTTTATATAATTTTTCATAGCAATTCATGCAAAATTATAGTTTACTTTCCGTTTTCCTTAAATGTATTTACATTTGTTTTACAAAAGAAAGCAACAAACACCAATATTTTCATAATAATTGTAACTGTTTAGTTCTTGTKAAAACACCTAATTTTTAAGTACTCTTCATTTTTGTATAAATTGTAATTCTTTAAGTGCATACTATWAAAAATATTAACAAAATTATAAGCGTATACATACATTTACATTTATACTTTAAATGCCTTTTTCTTTAAATTATGTTAAATAAAATAATCAAAAATAAATATTTACATAAATGAATAATCGAAAAAATATCTTTGCGCTTTTATTTTAGTATTTAATTTTTATATATATATTTTTTTTTGATTGTACAAAATATCATCTACGAAAAATCCTCAAATCACGGGTATCAATCGACAAATCAGTTTTGCGCCATCACATTTCCACCACTAAAAGTCACCATGCGCAATACCACTTTTCAACACACCACCCACAACCACCACCAATCACAATTCACCACCGACACCTAAGCTCAAGTATCAAATATCACCATCACCACCACCCTCCTCAAAAAATGTCAATCGAAAACCGTTAGGCATAAAGATATGACCGTTAGTAATGCAAAAAATAAGAAGTTCACAGAGATTTCCGCGTAAAACAGCCAAAGCATAATGTGTGAATATAAATATAATTTTTTTTTTTTTGTAATTTTTTCATATTAATTTATTTTCTACATAAAATCGTGCCTTTAAAGCACGTTAAACTCACCAATTGTAGGAAAATGGCCGTTATTCAATACTGAAAGTTATTTTTTCATCGGTTTTACATATTTTTTGTKTTGTTTCCTCTGACAACAAAAATTCAAAAAATAATTATTTTGGTTTTTGTCAACGACTTTTAAGCGCGTTAAATTCACCACTAGTAAGAAAATTGTATATAAATATGTATATATTCATATATGTATATCTATGGACAGTTATATATATGTTTTTTGCTATATATATGTGCTCTGACATCACCAAGAATCATAAACAAAAACAAGCGAAATATATTTTTCACTGAAAATGCTCATAAGTAAACGAAAAAAATATATTTATGCCACATTTCTTTAAACATAAGCATAAACAYACATACATATATACATTTGTAGCGATAAATAGGAGCTCCATTAATTCACTTGAGTACATAAAGACGTATGTCATTTAGAAAAACCGTTAAAAGTGAAGAATAAACGGCGAGTATACCTACGGGGTACATGCTCTACACCGTACTGCTGTATACATGTACATACATGATTTCTATTACCATTATTGTAAAAGTTACATAATATATAAATACAAAACAATCAAAAACAAAAACATATATATGTACAAGTGTAATTATGTTGTTATTGCTGTTAAAATACATACAAAGCTACCTACGTATTATTTTGAAGTAGAATTCGTGAAGCTCGTGAGTCATTGAGACATTGAGTCAGTCAGTTTGTTGTTTAATGATGTAGTAGTTAGTGCCGTTAGGGACGCAAAGCGCAGAAGTGATCCACAATGTTTTGTTAAAGTTAAATACATATTTAAAAGAAATAGAAAATACATCACAAATGGGTGATATGAAGCGTACGCTAGAGGGTCAAGGTGTTGTAGGTAACAAAAATGTTTTCGGAGCGACATTTTGTGGTTTAAAAAAATGTTGATTTTTGTGTGGACTGCTGCTTCATGGAATTATGCGTGAAATTGCAGATGAAGTTTCTTTCGGGCCGGCAATAAAAATAGCAAAAAATATTTACAATTATTTTATAATGAAAGAGATGGCTACTAAATGTAGTCAATAAAAGCTGCATTGTTCGCCTGCAAGTATGCAAAGATTTTTGCATGCATTGA